TTCTTTCCTTCTATACCATTCTTTCCCTATTTCTCTAGCCTCTTTGTTCTGTCATGCTCCGCTGCAACATCAAGCGTCGTACCATATGCCACCAACGCCTAGAAGGACTCGGCGCCCTCTGCTGCTCACATGCCTACTACAACCGTAGTAGTAGTCTACGTGACCAGGACCCGCCGCACCATGGAACGTGGTGGCCTCACACCTCCAGGTATTCTTGAGAGACACGGATATTCTGGATCCGGCACAGTCTGGCTTCAGACCGGGACATGGTACCGAGACGGTCTTGGTCGCCTTAGTGGATGATCTGCGCCGGGAGCTAGACAGGGGGAGTGTGTCCCTGTTGGTGCTCCTGGACCTCTCAGCGGCCTTCGATACCGTCGACCACGGTATCCTTCTGGGGCGCCTTGCGGAAATGGGCCTTGGGGGCACTGCTCTGCAGTGGCTCCGGTCATTTCTGGAGGGTCGCACCCAGAAGGTGTTATTGGGGGACTCCTGTTCAACACCACAGCCTTTGACCTGTGGGGTTCCACAGGGCTCTATACTGTCCCCCATGCTGTTTAATATCTACATGAAGCCGCTGGGTGAGATCATCCGGAGTTTCGGGGTGCGGTGTCATCTGTACGCAGATGATGTCCAACTCTGTCACTCCTTTCCACCTGCTACTAAGGAGGCTGTCGAGGTCCTGAAACGGTGCCTGGCCGCTGTAATGGTCTGGATGAGGGCGAACAAACTGAAATTAAATCCAGACAAGACAGAGGTACTCCTGGTCAGTCGCAAGGCCGAACAGGGTATAGGGTTACAGCCTGTGCTGGACGGGGTCGCACTCCCCTTGAAGGCGCAGGTTCGCAGCCTGGGTGTGACCCTGGATTCATCCTTGAGCCTGGATCCCCAGGTTTCAGGGGTGACCAGGGGAGCATTTGCACAGCTTAGGCTTGTGCGCCAGGTGGAAATGATACTTGGGAAGTCTGACTTGGCCACGGTGGTACACGCTCTGGTCACATCCCGCCTTGACTACTGCAACGCTCTCTACGTGGGGCTGCCCTTGAAGACGGCCCGGAAGCTTCAGCTAGTCCAGCGCGCGGCAGCCATGTTACTAATGGGAGCGGGACGCAGGGAGCACACAACGCCCTTGTTGTCCCAGCTCCACTGGCTGCCGATCTGCTACCGGGCCCAATTTAAGGTGCTGGTGTTATCCTACAAAGCCCTAAACGGTTCCGGCCCAAAATACCTTTCGGACCGCATCTCGGCCTATGAGCCCACGAGGGCCTTGAGATCATCCGGGGAGGCCCTTCTCTCGATCCCGCCCGCCTCGCAGGCACGTCTGGCGGGGACGAGAGAGAGGGCCTTCTCAGTGGTGGCCCCCCGGCTGTGGAACGCCCTCCCTGCTGACATCAGACAGGCGCCCTCCCTCATGGCTTTCCGTAAAAGCCTAAAGACCTGGCTATTCGGGAAGGCATTTAATTGAGACCCACACGAATTTGGTAATGACATCTGGAACGGACTTTGGATTATGAGATTGGCTATGTTTCTATGTTGTGATGGCGCGGATTTTTTAGTGTGATTTAGATTAATGTGTAATTTGGTTGTTGATATATTGTATGTTTTGTAGACTGTTTTTATATGTTGTACACCGCCGCGAGTCGCCCCAGGGCTGAGAGCGGCGGTCAACAAATGAAGTAAATAAATAAATAAATAAATAAATAACTGCATTACATTATAGTCTAGCTTGCTGTTGACCTATTGTGATTATATAACTGCATTACTTTAATAGCCTACCTTGCTGTTGACCTATTCTGATGATATAACTGCATTACTTTAATAGTCTAGCTTGCTGTTGACCTATTGTGATTACATAACTGCATTACTTTAATAGTCTAGCTTGCTGTTGACCTATTGTGATTACATAACTGCATTACTTTAGTAGTCTAGCTTGCTGTTGACCTATTGTGATGATATAACTGCATTACTTTAATAGTCTAGCTTGCTGTTGACCTATTGTGATTACATAACTGCATTACTTTAATAGTCTAGCTTGCTGTTGACCTATTGTGATTACATAACTGCATTACTTTAATAGTCTAGCTTGCTGTTGACCTATTGTGATTATATAACTGCATTACTTTAGTAGTCTAGCTTGCTGTTGACCTATTGTGATTACATAACTGCATTACTTTAATAGTCTAGCTTGCTGTTGACCTATTGTGATTACATAACTGCATTACATTAATAGTCTAGCTTGCTGTTGACCTATTGTGATTATATAACTGCATTACTTTAATAGTCTAGCTTGCTGTTGACCTATTGTGATTACATAACTGCATTACTTTAATAGTCTAGCTTGCTGTTGACCTATTGTGATTACATAACTGCATTACATTAATAGTCTAGCTTGCTGTTGACCTATGCAGCCCGAAAGACAGTTGCATCTGTCAAGTGGCCTTCCGTCCTTGTATTTCGGGGAATCGTACATCTGCACTTCCCACACCCCCCAGGGACTTTTTGACCCCTCCCTTCCCTTGAAGGCCCAGGGGGCCGCTGACCTCTTCCTCGGTGGGCAGGTACTCGGGCGGAGGGTTGTAGGACTCCTGGTGTCCAGGCAGAGGGAGCTTAGGGGCCGGGACGTGCATCTTGTGGCGGCCCAGGATGGAGTTGGGGTCCTCCTGGGCCCAAAGGTCGTAGAAGGACGGCGCCCCCTCCTCTTCCTTGGGCTTCCGGGGCTTGATCCAGCCCATCTTGATGGCGTGCACCAAGCGGGAGACCTGCCATGGAAGGAGCCAGAGACCGAGACGTCACACAGCCGCACAGCCTCCCTCCCCATCCCCACAATGGCCTTCTGGCAGCAGCCAAGGCTCCGAACTCAACGCTCAGCCGTTCTCCAAAAGCAGGAGGAGAAGCGAGCATCCTTGGCTCATCTCTGGACTCACAACTTCGCTTTCGGCCATGACAGATTCATAATTAATAGAAAAGTCAAGAGTTACCAAGAATTACATAAGTTTTATGTAAATCAAAGCGTAATGAATGGGACCTGTAAGCAAAAGAATTGCGGACTAAGATTACTACTGACCGAAAGGTCATGAGTTCAAAGCCAACCTAGGTGGGAGTGAGCTCCCGGCCATTTGTCTAGCTTGCTGTCAACCTTTGCAGCCCGAAAGATAGTTTATTTATGTACAACATTTATATGCCGCCCTTCTCACCCCAAAGGGGACTCAGAGCAGCTTACAAGGTATATATTACATACAATATATTATTTTTGTATTGTCGAAGGCTTTCATGGCTGGAATCACTGGGTTGTTGTAGGTTTTTTCGGGCTGTATGGCCATGGTCTAGAGGCATTCTCTTCTGACGTTTCACATGCATCTATGCCAAGCATCCTCAGAGGTTGTGAGGTCTGTTGGAACTAGGAAAATTAGATTTATATATCTGTGGAATGACCAGGGTGGGACAAAGGACTCTTGTCTGCTGGAGCTAGGTGTGAATGTTTCAACTGACCACCTTGATTAGCATATAATGCTGGTCAACTGGTAATATAATCGACTGGTTGCACTGACACAATAAATAAATAAAAATAAATAGCATATAATGGCTTGACAGTGCCTGGAGCAATCTTTTGTTGAGAGGTGATTAGATGTCCTTGTTTCTTTCCTCTCTGTTGTTGTGCTGTTGTAATTTTAGAGTTTTTTTAATACTGGTAGCCAGATTTTGTTCATTTTCATGGTTTCCTCCTTTCTGTTGAAATTGTCCACATGCTTGTCCACAGAAATGCTGGACCACACCAACAACCACCATGTCAGACTACACAGAGAAGCCATTGAAATCCACAAGCATGTGGACAATTTCAACAGAAAGGAGAAACCATGAAAATGAACAAAATCTGGCTACCAGTATTAAAAAAAACTCTAAAATTACAACAGCACAACAACAGAGAGGAAGCAAACAAGGACATCTAATCACCTCTCAACAAAAGATTGCTCCAGGCACTGTCAGGCCATTATATGCTAATCAAGGTGGACAGTTGAAACATTCCCACCTCGCTCCAGCAAACACCCTGGTCCTTCCACAGATATATAAACCCATTTTCCTAATTCCAACAGACCTCACAACCTCTAAGGATGAGCTCCTGACCATTAATAGTCTAGCTTGCTGTTGACCTTTGCAGCCCAAAAGACAGTCAAGTAGGAAATTTAGGTACTGCTTTATGCAGGGAGGCGAACTTAACTAATAATAATAATAATAATAATAATAATAATACTTTATTTGTACCCCGCTACCATCTCCCCAAGGGACTTGGTGCGGCTTACATGAGGCCGAGCCCACAATACAACAATAAACAATAGCAACAGTAATACAAACAATAAATAAAACTCATAAACAGAAAATAGCAATAAACATTAACAATAACACAACGACGTTTAAAAACCTATGGCAGGGCCAAATGTACTAATTAAAATTTAATTTAATTCACCATTAAAACCTTCCTGATACCCCTTTATGCGGGGAGGTGAATTTAATTAACTTACGACACCATAAAAACCTTCCAGCAACTCGCACAAGAATGAGGAAGTACATCACGGACTTGGTGTCACAAGTGGATGGTGAAGCGACAGCTCCCCCTGTGGCCGGAACCAAGCATACCTTCATGAAGCCGGAAAGCTGGAATGTTAAATTGCCTCTGTGTCTGTCTATATATGTTGTATATCTAAATGGCATTGAATGTTTGGCATGTATATGTGCATTGTGATATGCCCTGAGTCCCCTGCGGGGTGAGAAGGGATGAATCTAAATACTGTAAATAAATATTATATTATATTGATACCCTTCCCATCTTACCTTCTCCTTCTCAATAAGGGAAGGGATGAAGCTCCGCTTGTCCGCCGGGCGGTTGGTCACCGGATGGATCATCACTTGGCTGGAGAAGAAGTCCACGGCGGGCTGCAAAGGCGGAAGGAAGGAAAGAAGGGGTGAGGAGGGGGCCTGCCTTGAATGTGGCCCCAAAGTGGGCTTAGGAAGGCCTGGGGCTGTTGACTGACGCTCTGGACGAGAGCCTCTCCTCACCTCGTACGGGTTGAAAGCCACGTCCCCAAACTGGCCCTTCTGGAGGCGGTTGACCAGCTCCACCTGTTCGTCCGTCAGCTTCACATCCGCCCCGGTCTTCTTGTCATGGACCGTTCTCCTGTTTTGTAGAGAAGAGAGTGCTAGAAGTGAAGAAGCGCCAGGACTTGTATGCAGAGTGTAGTGAATCTTACCTAGTAGGCTGGAAAGGAAGACTGGATAACAGTATGGCAATCCTCCATTTTGAGAGTGTAAGCCAAGGATGCAGCCATCTTGAGTGAGGATAGCTAGAAGATGGGAGGAGTTTGAGGTCTCCTGGGATTGGCTAGAGCAAGTGGGAGGAGCCAAGTCTTAGGAGGGAAAAGATTTCAGCTTCTGTGGAGTGGAGAACTGGGAGCTGGTGGGTGAAGAAGTGCTTTTGAAACTGAGTTTTCAGGGAGAGAGTGTCTGTGTCAGACAGGGGCTGATTAGCTGACAAGAGAAAGGTCAGACAGCAACCGGATTCCTTGTGGGAGATAGCACAAGGGATTAGCTCTCTAGACTGAGTTAGTTTGCAGGAAGAACTCTGGGAAGAGTTAGCTGATAACTCAGGGGACTACCTAGGATAGGTTAGTCAGTGACTCATTACTATTTCTCTGAAGTAGAGTGAGGGATTTTTGTAACCAGCAGCTAAATCTGTTTGATTAGCTCTGACTGTAACTAAGTAAAGAAACTTATTCTAGTAACCATCAAGCTATAGAACTTTTGTAACAAGTCAAGCGTTTTGTACCTCTCAGAAGTAGTTAGCTGTCTGTTTTTATAAATAAATCTTTTTCTATGTAACCTTCAAAAAGGTCTCTATTGTTCCTCAATCTACCATTAATCCTTTGTGATAGTTCCAGTATCTTTAACATTCTAATACTACAGAAAGGCCTCTTATCCAGACAGTCATTCTGGGAGCGAGGGGAAGAGCTGTGTTGGAAGAATTGGGAAAAGGTTACCTCAAAAACTCATTTTAAAAATCCTAAGGCAACTTGGGTTGGTGGCAGCTTTAAACCAAAAGAAGACTAAAAGACAAACAGTGTTCATTCTACCATTACACACATCTATCTACATCTCGCTACCAAATTGGAGGCACAAGGGGAGGATTTTTGAGGAAAAAGTAAATACAGGGTTAGTCAAAATGAATAGGCCAATAAGAAAATTAATTTTAGACAAATGTATGTTTACTGTAACCAAACCACAGCTACGTAGCGACAGATAAACTATCAAAGTTTTGTCTCACCTTCAGAGATGTTCGATATGGGCGCCCCGTGTGACACGGCAGATGTCCAAGCGATAGTCCAGTTCATTCCACATCCGTTGCAGCACATCCGACGTAATGGCATCGAATGCAGCAACGTCTGGGAAGGTGTTCGTTGAGGTCCTAACCCTAACCCTAACCCTAACCCTAACCCTAACCCTATCCCTAACCCTAACCCTAACCCTAACCCTAACCCTAACCCTAACCCTAACCCTATCCCTAACCCTATCCCTAACCCTATCCCTATCCCTATCCCTAACCCTAACCCTAACCCTATCCCTAACCCTAACCCTAACCCCTATCCCTAACCCTAACCCTATCCCTAACCCTAACCCTATCCCTATCCCTAACCCTAACCCTAACCCTATCCCTATCCCTATCCCTAACCCTAACCCTATCCCTAACCCTATCCCTAACCCTAACCCTAACCCTAACCCTATCCCTATCCCTAACCCTAACCCTATCCCTAACCCTTACCCTAACCCTATCCCTAACCCTAACCCTATCCCTAACCCTAACCCTATCCCTAACCCTAACCCTATCCCTATCCCTATCCCTAACCCTAACCCTTGAAATTCTCGCTGGACCGTAATTACTGACATTGTTTTAGCAAATGTCATCACACAAAACGCCTTCTCTTTGCTTGATTCCGCCATTTTGAAAACAGCGACCCCTAGCGACGCCTAGCGGCATTAACGTACATGTGTGTTGCTCAAAAAAAACTTTGATAGTTTATCTGTCGCTACGTAGCTGTGGTTTGGTTACAGTAAACATACACTCGTCTAAAATTAATTTTCTTATTGGCCTATTCATTTTGACTAACCCTGTATTTCGGTTAGGCAGGAATCCGGATTGGTCTTCTTTAATCCATGTCACCAAGAATGATTTTAGTCTCTCTGCTATAATATTGGCAAAGATTTTATAATACTTTATAGTTGCTTGAGGTTGCTTCCTCTTGCATTTTCTCCCAGGACTGCTGCAGCTTTGCAAGAGTGTTAAAAGTTAATAGAATCATAGAATCATAGAATCAAAGAGTTGGAAGAGACCTCATGGGCCATCCAGTCCAACCCCATTCTGCCAAGAAGCAGGAATATTGCATTCAAATCACCCCTGACAGATGGCCATCCAGCCTCTGTTTAAAAGCTTCCAAAGAAGGAGCCTCCACCACACTCCGGGGCAGAGAGTTCCACTGCTGAACGGCTCTCACAGTCAGGAAGTTCTTCCTCGTGTTCAGATGGAATCTCCTCTCTTGTAGTATTTGTATTTACATAAAACAGTAATTTAAGGTAAGGCTGCCCAACTCTGATTAAACCAGTATTCTAACCTCCTTCAACGTAAATGTGCTTCTTACCTATTACCTATAATGATAGAATAAAATAATAAATGTAGAAACATGTAATAAAAAAATAAGAGTAAATAATGTAAATTTAATAACAATAATAAAGTAATAAATGTAATAATAACAATAATAGAGTAGAATAAAAAATGTAATAAAATAGAGTAAAATAATAAATGTAATAAATAATAATAGAATGTAACATAATAATGAAAATGTAATAATAATAGAGTAAAATAATAAATGTAATAATAATAATAAAATAATACAGAGTAAAATAATAAATAACCTTGACTCAAGTATAAGCCGAGGGGAACTTTTTCAGCCTAAAAAAGGGGCTGAAAAACTAGGCTTATACTCGAGTATATACAGTACATTCCTTTACAGTGGTGTCCAGCGGTGTGATATTTGGTGATATATTATATAGGGATCTGTTATACAGAGCAATTAGGGAACCCTGTGATTCCATCTGAACATGAGGAAGAACTTCCTGACTGTGAGAGCCGTTCAGCAGTGGAACTCTCTGCCCCGAGTGTGGTGGAGGCTCCTTCTTTGGAAGCTTTTAAACAGAGGCTGGATGGCCATCTGTCAGGAGTGATTTGAATGCAATATCCCTGCTTCTTGGCAGGGGGTTGGACTGGATGGCCCATGAGGTCTCTTCCAACTCTTTGATTCTATGATTCATCTCCGTTTCCTAGATGTATGCACCTCAAGAGGGGACTAAATCAGGGTGTTGTTTTGCCTCCCCTTGGCTGCAGAGACATGAATGATGGGAATGGAGCTCCTGCCTGGTCACCCTGCCCAGTCCCGGGACCCTCACCAATAGTCTGGGTTCTCCATCTTCTCCAGAAACTTGTCCAGCTCGTCCTTGTTGCGGATGGGCTTGTAGATCTTCCTGCCGTCCAAGTCGTAGCCGATGTGGGGGAACTCCTGGTACCACTCCATGGGGATGTTGCCCACTGTGTTGCGGATGTCCTGCAAGGATGGAGAGGCAGAGCCGGGCAGGGTTAATGGGAGTCCCAGTATTACGTCAACAAACCATTTTTTTAATACTGGTACAACCAGAGAGGTCAGCCATAGCAGAGCACCTGAGGAACCAACCAGGACACAGCATATTATTATCTGAGAACACAGAAATGATGGACCACTCTCACAACGACCATGTCAGGCTACACAGAGAAGCCATTGAAATCCACAAGCATGTGGACAATTTCAACAGAAAGGAGGAAACCATGAAAATGAACAAAATCTGGCTACCAGTATTAAAAAACTCTAAAATTACAACAGCAAAACAACAGAGAAAACAATCAGGGACATCTAATCACCTCTCAACAAAAGATTGCCCCAGGCACTGCCAGGCCATCAAATGCTAATCAAAGTGGTCAGTTGAAACATTCACACCTAGCTCCAGCAGACAAGAGTTCTTTGTCCCACCCTGGTCATTCCACAGATATATAAACCCATTTTCCTACTTCCAACAGACCTCACTCCCTCTGAGGATGCTTGCCATAGATGCAGGCGAAACGTCAGGAGAGAATGCCTCTAGAACATGGCCATATAGCTCGAAAAAACCTACAACAACCCAATCAACCTAGCTCCAGCAGACAAGAGTCTTTTGCCCCACCCTGGTCATTCCACAGATGTATAAACCCATTTTCCTACTTCCAACAGACCTCACTCTCTCTGAGGATGCTTGCCATAGATGCAGGCGAAACGTCAGGAGAGAATGCTAGAGGTACTGCCAGGCCATTATATGCTAATCAAGGTGGTCAGTTGAAACATTCACACCTAGCTCCAGCAGACAAGAGTCTTTTGCCCCACCCTGGTCATTCCACAGATGTATAAACCCATTTTCCTACTTCCAACAGACCTCACTCCCTCTGAGGATGCTTACCATAGATGCAGGCAAAACGTCAGGAGAGAATGCCTCTAGAACATGGCCATCCTGAAAAAACCTACAACAACCCAGTTGCTAATTAAGTCTGCTGTCCAAAAGCCTGGTCCCAAAAAACACGATTCCAATTCCTTCCTGAAAGCCAGGAGGGATGAAGCCGATCTTCTCTCACTTGGAAGCACGTTCCACAGGATTTGCGTGACCTTTGGGAAAACCCGAATCTCCACAGCCTTTTTGGAAGTGTGACCTTTGGGAGATTGATTGGCATTCACACTATTTGGAATAATCACAACCCTTTTGTAAAAGTATGACCTTCCTCAGAAGAGTTAAGTATCCACTAGTATTCATGCAAGGCAATTTAGGATTCTCAGTTGTTAGACTGATATACCTGGTTATCTCTCTGAACGGTCAGGAACAAAGATATGCCAATGCACACTCTCTCAGCCTCGGAGGAAGGCAATGGTGGCAACCCCCTTTTGAAGGCATCTAGACAAGGAAGCAGCTGCATTTTGGGGCGACTCAAAGGAACCCCTGCGTTTACTCATTGGGGAAGGGGCCAACTGTGTGCCCCCCTCACTCTTTCCTCCCCCCCTCCCACTTCAGGGTCCAATGCATAGGACCCCCCTTTTTTTTCAGGCCTGTTTGGTGGGAGGAAGGTGTGAACGTGACCCCTTTCCCCTCCCGACACACCTGCCCTGCTCCGCCACCCCCTCGGCCATCTGTTCCCCATAAAGGCAGAGTGGGAAGAGGCGAGGTGAGGGGTCCCTGGTGGATTGGGGAGGGGGCTGGGTGGCCCAGGTCTCTCCCCCCCCCTCCCCAAATCCTTCCTCCAGCCCATCCATCACAGCATCACTCTTGCTCTCCCCTCTTATAGGTTTCTGCCAGGAATTTCCCAGCCACAAAAAAAATAGGGGGCTGAGCTTGGAGAGAGAAAGAGGGAAGAAGGAGGAAGGAAGGAAGGAAGGAAGGAAGGAAGGAAGGAAGGAAGGAAGGAAGGAAGGAAGGAAGGAAGGAAGGAGGGAGGAAGGAGAGCGGCAGGCGCAAGGTATTCTCCTCCCAGGAATGGAGTTTTTTTTTGGGGGGGGGGTGCAACCATCCTTGCAAGAACTGTTGCTACCACTTGCTAATCCTCTCCTTCCCCTCTTGAGATGCCTCACCTGGAATTATAGACCCACAGAGAAGAAAAGGACCCCAAAGGCCACTCCATCCAGCTGGGAGACACAACCCAAGCCCCTTCTATGGAGGTTTTTAAGCAGAGGTCCCTGCATGGCAGAGAGGGGTTGGACTAGATAGCCTTTGGGTGCCCCTTCTTTGTGCCCGTGAGTCTGTTGGAATCTCCTTCTTTCTCAAGGTTTTTAAGGAGAGGCTGGGTGGGCATCTGTCGGGAGGGTTTGGATTGTACAGAAGGAGGTTGGGCTAGGTGGTCCTCTTTGGGCTCTCTTCCAACTCTAGGATTCTATGGCCTCCTGTCAGTAGGGATTGGATGGTCCTCCTGTCTTGAAGAAGGTTGGCCTGGATGGCCCTCTTTGGGGTCTCTTCCAACTCTAGGATTCCATGGAAGTCTTTAAACGAAAGCTGTTAGTTGGGATTGAATGGTCTTGCAGAAGGAGGTTGGATTAGATGACCCTTGGGGTCTCTTCCAGCTCTAGGAGTCTATGGAAGTCTTTAAATGCAAGCTAGATGGCCATTTGTTAGTAGGAATTGAATGGTCTTCCTGTCTTGCAGAAGGAGGTTGGACTAGATGGCCCTTGGGGTCTCTTCTAGCTCTAGGAGTCTATGGAAGTCTTTAGACATAAGATAGATGTCCATCTGTCAGTAGTGATTGGGTGGTCTTCCTGTCTTGCAGAATGGGATTGGACTGGATGGCCCTTGGGGTCTCTTCCAACTCTAGGATTCTATGGAAGTCTTTAAACACAGACTAGATGGCCACCTGTCAAGAGGGATTGGGTGGTCTTCCTGTTGTGCAGAAGGGGGTTGAACTAGATGGCATTTGGGGTCTCTTCCACTTCTAGGATTCTATGGAAGTCTTTAAACACAAGTTATATGGGCATCTGTAAGTAGGGATCAGATGGTCCTCCTGTCTTGCAGAAGGAGGTTGAACTAGACGGTCTTTGGGGTCTCTTCCAACTCTAGGATTTTATGGAAGTCTTTAAAGACAAGCTAGATGTCCATATGTCAGTAGGGATCGGGTGGTCCTTCTGTTCTGTTGGCCCACTTTGGGTCTCTTCCAACTCTAGGATTCTATGGAAGTCTTTAAACATAGGCTAGATGGACTTCTGTCAGTAGGGATCAGGTGGTGCCTTCCTGCCTAGGAGATAGAAGGGGTTGGACTGGATGGCCTTTGAAGGCCCCTTCCAAATCTAGAATGCCATGTTGCTGCATTTGGAGGCGTTGAAAGGGGGCTCTGACCTCCTGCTGGGTGGGAGGGGGCTTGCCAGACCCACCATGGAGCCAAGGCCAAGGCTGGAGGTGGACTCATAATCCCCTTCCCCACAAAAGTGTATTAAGCCCCACTCCTCGGCCGAGCCTGAGCAGAAGAGGTCCTCCCCGCTTTCCTCCTTCCAGTAGCGCAAGCCCTGCTTGGCCTCTCCTCCCCTCTGGCTCGGAGCAGTTAACACATGAGCCTGAATGAGATCAGTGGCTGGAAAGGAGGGCAGCCTCTCCCCACTCCGCCCCCCCCCCCTTGGCGGCCCCCCATCAGCCTCTTCTCTCCCCCCAAAGAAAGACGCTGCCGTCACTCAGCCACACGTCTGGAAGTTGCTCTTGGACCGGAGAGGCATTCCTCCAGCGCATTCCTGGCAGGAGAACGGATTCTTTTCCCAGTAGCTGCTCTCTCTTGCAAATAGCTGGTCCACGTGGAGAAGGAAGGAAGGAGAGAAGGAGGAGGAGATGGAGAGAGAGAGAGAGAGAGAGGAAGAAAAAATGGGAAAGGGGGCTTCCAAGGAAAAGAAAGAAGGAAGGAAGGAGTGGGAATAGGAATTGGGTGAGGGTCTCCTTCCCTTTCTCCCTCCCCAGCCACCAATTGGGACCTTCTCCAGGATGAGTTCAGGAGGCCAAGAAGGAGGTTCAGGAGGCCAAGAAGGAGGGAGGCCTCTCTCCATGAAGGGGATCCAAATGGGCAAAACCACCTGGGACGAAACCTCTCCAAGCCCAAAGGAAGCCCGGATGAAGAAGGAGGGGGTTCCCAGCTGGAAGGGCACAGAGCAAAGCAACACCCCTGGAAAACTGAGAAGGGTGTTTCTTACGTAAGGTCTGTGTGCTCTGCAGAAGAGAGAAGTGGATGGTGATACACTTAGGCAGAGAGGACGGAAGGCAGAGAGATAGGATGGGTGGCATCCACCTTGGAAACGGTCCATGATGAAGGGATCTAGGAGCCTTAGGAGATCAAGAGAAGTCCTAGTCCCACGCTGTTCTGCTTTGGTCAACCTTGACTCAGAATAATCACTCTGTGTCCAGTTCTGGGCAAACTGGACACAATTTAAGAAGGAGGTGGACAATGAGAAGAGCCACCAACATGGTCAGAGGCTTGGAAGCACAGAGATATAGGAAGGGTGGCATCCACCTTGGAAACAGTCATGATGAAGGGATCTAGGAGCCTTAGGAGATCAAGAGAAGTCCTAGTCCCACGCTGTTCTGCTTTGGTCAACCTTGACTCAGAATAATCACTCTGTGTCCAGTTCTGGGCAAACTGGACACAATTTAAGAAGGAGGTGGACAATGAGAAGAGCCACCAACATGGTCAGAGGCTTGGAAGCACAGAGATATAGGAAGGGTGGCATCCACCTTGGAAACGGTCCATGATGAAGGTATCTAGGAGCCTTAGGAGATCAAGAGAAGAGTCCCACTCTGTACTGCTTTGGTCAAACTTGACTCAGAATAATCACTCTGTGTCCAGTTCTGGGCAAACTGGACACAATTTAAGAAGGAGATGGACAATGAGAAGAGCCACCAACATGGTCAGAGGCTTGGAAGCACAGGGATATAGGAAAGGTGGCCTTGGAAACGGTCCATGAGAAAGGGATCTAGGAGCCTTAGGAGACCACAGGTTGAATGTGCATCAAGAGAAGTCCTAGTCCCACTCTGTTCTGCTTTGGTCAAACTTAACTAGGAATAATACCTCTGTGTCCAGTTCTGGGCAAACTGGACACAATTTAAGAAGGAGATGGACAATGAGAAGAGCCACCAACATGGTCAGAGGCTTGGAAGCACAGGGATATAGGAAAGGTGGCCTTGGAAACGGTCCATGAGAAAGGGATCTAGGAGCCTTAGGAGACCACAGGTTGAATGTGCATGAAGAGAAGTCCGAGTCCCATTCTGTTCCGCTTTGGTCAGACTTGACTCAGAATAACCACTCTGTGTCCAGTTCTGGGCAAACTGGACACAATTTAAGAAGGAGATGGACAAGCTTTACAGTGTTCAGAGAAGAGCCACCAAAATGGTCAGAAGCTTGGAAGCACAGGGATATAGGATGGGTGACACCTGCCTTGGAAATGATCCATGACGAAGGGATCTAGGAACGTTCAATATGTTCTCAAAGGCTTTCATGGCCAGAATCACTGGGTTGCTGTAAGTTTTTCAGGCTGTATGGCCATGTTCCAGAAGTATTGTCTCCTGATGTTTTGCCTGCATCCATGGCAGGCATCCTCAGAGATTGTGAGGTTCTAGGAACCTTAGGAGACCACATGTTGAACGTGAATCAAGAGTGTGATACAGTATCAAGAGAAGTCTGGTGTCAAGATCGAGGGAAGTCCTAGTCCCACTCTGTTCTGCTTTGGTCAGACTTGACTCAGAATAATAACTCTGTGTCCAGTTCTGGGCAAATCCCACCAAAAACCTAGGAAGACCTTCTTGATGATGAGATCTGTTCAAATAGAAGGAAAAGGCATCCCACCGAAACCTTAGGGAGATCTTCTTGATGATGGGATCTGTTCGACTGGGAGTGTGGGAGAGCTCCTTCTTGGAGGGTTTTAAGCAGAGGCTGGATGGTTATCTGTTGGGGGTGCTTTGATTGTGCTTTTCCTTCCAGGCAGAAGGGGGTTGGACCAGATGACCCTTGGGGAGTCTCTTCAGTCGTTCAGTGGAGGACAAACCACAGAATCACAGAATTAGAAGAAACCCCAAGGGCCATCCAGTCCAACCTCTGCAAGGTAGGAAAAGCATGATAGATGGACATTCAGCCTCTGTTTCAAAGCCTCCAAAGAAGAAGCCTCCACTGGATTTTGAGGCAGAGAGTGCCACTGCTGAATAGATCTTACAATCAGGAAGTTCTTCCTAAAGTTCAGGTGGAATCTCCTTCCCTGTCACTTGAACCCATGGCCCCATTGAGTCCTAGTCTCCAGGACAGCAGAAAACAAGACCTGCTCCTTCTTCATTGTGACACCCTTTCAGTTACTGAGACACAGCTCTCATGTTTAAACAACCAAGAGATGGTGTTCCCTTAGAATCCTAGAGTTGGAAGAGACCTCGTGGGCCATCCAGTCCAACCCCATTCTGCCAAGAAGCAGGACAATTTCATTCAAAGCAACCCCGACAGATGGCCATCCAGCCTCCATAGAAGGAGCCTCCATAGAAGAAGCCTCCACTACACTTCGGGGCAGAGAGTTCCACTGCTGAACAGCTCTCTCTCATCATCAGGAAGTTCTTCCTCATCTTCTGCCCCAGAGTGTGGTGGAGGCTCCTTCTTTGGAAGCTTTTAAACAAAGGCTGGACGGCCATCTGTCAGGGGTGATTTGAATGCAATATTCCTGCTTCTTGGCAGGGGGTTGGACTGGATGGCCCATGAGGTCTCTTCCAACTCTTTGATTTTATGATTCTATGATTCTGGTGGAATCTCCTTCATTTCCTGTAGTTTGAAGCCATTGCTCCATCAGGTCCTAGTCTCCTGGGCATCAGTAAGGAAGCTTACGCCCTCCTCCCTATGTCTTCCCCTCATCAAGTCTCCTCTCAGCCTTCTCTTCTGCAGGCTAGACATGCCCAGCTCTTTAAGTCTTTCCTCATAGGGCTTGTTCTCCAGACCCTTGATCCTTTGAGTCGCCCTTCTCTGGACACATTCCAGCTGGGAGTCAACATCTCCCATTCAATGGAGGTGCCCAGAATTGGACACAGTGTGATTCCAAGTGTGGTCTGACCAAGCCAGAATGGAGCATGGAGAGCATGGCTTCCCTGGATCTAGGCACTAGACCAGTGGTTCTCAACCTTACTAATGCCGCGACCCCTTAATACAGTTCCTCATATTGTGGTGACTCCCAACCATTCAATTATTTTCACTGCTACTTCATAATTGTAATTTTGCTACTGTTATGAATCATTATGTAAATATCTGATATGCGGGATGTATTCTTATTGAAGTGTTATGGGAGGATTGATTTTGTCATTTGGGAGTTGTAGTTGCTGGGGTTTATAGTTCACCTACATTCAAAGAGCATGCTGAACTCTACCAACGATGGAATTGGACCAAACATGGCACACAGAACTCCCATGACCAACGGAAAATACTGGGTTTGGTGGGCATTGACCTTGAGTTTGAGAGTTGTAGTTTGCCTACACCCAGAGAGCACTGTGGACTCAAGCAATGGTGGATCTGGACCAAACTTGACACGAATATTCAATATGCCCAAATGTGAACACTGGTGAAGTTCGAGGCAAATAGACCTTGACATTTGGGAGTTGTAGTTGCTGGGATTTATAGTTCACCTACAACCAAAGAGTATTCAGAAGCCCACCGACGATAGAATTAGGCCAAACTTCCCACACAGAACCCCCATGACCAACAGAAAATACTGTCTGTAATGGTCTTTGGCGACCCCTCTGACACCCCCTCGTGACCCCTCCAGGGGTCCCGAACCCCAGGTTGAGAACCACTACACTAGATGGTTCCTCTTGATGTAGGCCAATATCCTATTGGCTTTTTGAGCTGCAGCATCACATTGTTGGCTCATGTTTAAGGAAGAATAATAGGAATGATGTGGAGGTTGGATGAATGGAGACACTCCCTTTGCCTGCAGACAGGATCCTTGACCCATGAGGCCTAAGAGGTGAAGCCCACAGGGTGGAGAGATATTGACAAGCTGGAATGTGTCCAGAGGAGGGCGACTCAAATGATCAAGGGTCTGGAGAACAAGCCCTATGAGGAGCGGCTTAAGGAGCTGGGCATGCTTAGCCTGAAGAAGAGAAGGCTGAGAGGAGACATGATAGCCATGTATAAATATGTGAGAGGAAGCCACAGGGAGGAGGGAGCAAGCTTGTTTTCTGCTTCCTTGGAGAATAGGACGCAATGGAACAATGGCTTCAAACTACAAGAGAGGAGATTCCATCTGAACATGAGGAAGAACTTCCTGACTGTGAGAGCCGTTCAGCAGTGGAACTCTCTGCACCGGAGTGTGGTGGAGGCTCCTTCTTTGGAAGCTTTTAAACAGAGGCTGGATGGCCATCTGTCAGGGGTGATTTGAATGCAATATTCCTGCTTCTTGGCAGAATGGGGTTGGACTGGATGGCCCATGAGGTCTCTTCCAACTCTTTGATTCTATGATTCTATGAGAGAGTGTGCTGGTGCTGGCCCACAGCCTCTGTTGTGTTGCACTCCTCCTCCTCCTCCTTCTCCGTCCCAAGCAAGGAGGCTGAGGGAGGCGTGAAGCTGCTGCTGTGGCTGCTGTGAGTCAGAGGAGGGGCCGGGCTGACCGACTGAGAGCTCACTTTCAGTGCTATAAAACATTCCTCACTCGGCTCTTGCCGCACTCCAAAAGGCGCATGAGGAGGAGGAGGAGGCGGCACACGTGTGCAAGGAAAGAAGGGGAAGAGGCAGCGGTGCTCAGTGCGGGACAAGTCACTTAACCCCTTCCAGACGCATTGGACCAGACGGAGCGGACGAGGGTTCCTTTCTCTGTGAACATTTTGGCAACGTTTTTAGGGAGGATGAGAGTGCGGCGCTGAGGGTGTCCCGGACAGGAGGAGTGACCGCCACCCGTTGTCCACCACCATGTCCTTCGCCATGCTGCGCTCGCCCCCCAGTCGTTTCCTATATCCCGAAATCAGCATGCTCTCGGAGGACGAGGAGAATGGCAGCGAGAGCTCCGGCTCGGACGAGAAGCCCTACTGTCTGGACGGCGGTGGGTTCGGTCTCAAAGGTGCCCAGCGCCGGTCTGGTGGCGGTATCAAAAAGACAGTCCGCCTCCCGCGGCAAGAGCCCCGCCAGCGGCACACGGCCAACGCGCGGGAGCGGGACCGCACTAACAGCGTCAATACGGCCTTCACGGCGCTGCGGACCCTCATCCCCACGGAGCCGGCCGACCGGAAGCTCTCCAAGATCGAGACTCTGCGCCTGGCTTCCAGCTACATCTCCCACCTGGGCAACGTGCTTCTGGTCGGGGAGGCGTGCGGCGACGGGCAGCCCTGCCACACCACGCCGGCCTCCGCCGCCTTCTTCCATCACGGCGGCAACGGAGGGGGCAGCAACGGGAGCCCCCCGGCCAGGGAGAGCGAGAACTCCCAGCCCAAACAGATCTGCACTTTCTGCCTCAGCAACCAGAGGAAGATGGTGAGTACAGCAGGGAAAGGAGGGAAGAGTGGGACAGGTGGGAATCGGAGTCTCAGGGTTGGCATTGGGATGCGGCACATCCTGGGCACCTCCACCCCTTCCTTCCAAGGCACACTTCTATTTGTCTAGAAACAAAAGGTTGTAGGTGAACTATAAATCCCAGCAACTACAACTCCCAAATGTCAAGGTCTATTTTCCCCAAACTCCTCCAGTGTTCACATTTGGGCAAATTGCGGATTTGTGCCAAGTTTGGTTCACATCCATCACTGTTTGAGTCCACAGTACTCTCTGTTTGTAGGTGAACTACAACTCCAAAACTCAAGGTCAATGTCCACAAAACCCTTCCAGTATTTTCTGATGGCCATGGGAGCTCTGTGTGCCAAGTTTGGTTCAATACCATCGTTGGTAGAATTCAGAATGCTCTTTGATTGTAGGTGAACTATAAATCCCAGGAACTACAACTCCCAAATGTCAAGGTCTATATTCCTCAAACTCCACCGGTGTGTACATTTGGCCATATTGAGTATAGGTGAACTATAAAGCCCAGCAAAAGACAAAAAACTTGCAGGACTTTAGGAATGCAACTGGCACCTCCACCCCTCCCTCCTGATTGATCACACTTCTAAGTATGGCAGGACACCAGGATCTCCAAATGCTCCAGGAAAGAAAGCAAAGATCTAGCAGAACATTAGGAATGGCACAGGCACCTTCTGATTGATCACATTGCGAGCTATGGCAGGGCACCAGGATGCCCAAATGCTCCAGGAAAGAAAGCAAAGACCTCATGGAACATCTGGGAAGAAACAGGAACCTCCGTCCATCCATTTCTTCCAAATTATCACATTTAGTTCCTTTCTTAATGTTCCTCTTTGAAGGTTCAAGAATCCAACAGTAGTCAGAACATTGGGAAAGGAACGAAAAACGAAACCTTGAGAATAATATCAAGGGACTCGGCCAGAAAGGGTAGGAAGGAGTCACAAAGAAAGGTGGCCACAAAATCCCACTGCATGTGGGAGACCCCTTCTATGGCTCCTCTCCTGAAAGACACCAGGACAGGACCCTTAAATGCTACAGGGAAAAGGAGAAACCTTGATGGGTATCAGGAGAATAATAGGCACTCCATCCACCGCTTCCAAACTCTCTCACTTCTAGGTTGTTGTAGGTTTTTCGAGCTCACAACCTCTGAGGATGCCCGCCATAGATGCAGGCGAAACGTCAGTAGAGAATGCTTCTAGAACATGGCCATACAGCCCGAAAAACCTACAGCAACCCAGTGATTCCAGCCATGAAAGCCTTCGACAAGACATCTCCCACTTCTATCTCTTGCAAGATCACAGGACCCTCAACTAACCCAGGGAAAAGGACAAATGTGTCCTTATGGAATTATTAGGAACTAGCTGTCTCCTGCCACACGTTGCTGTGGCTCACATGGGGGTTCTGTGTGGGAGGTTTGGGCCAATTTTATCATTGGTGGGGTTCAGAATGCTCTGTGAATGTAGGTGAACTATAAATCCCAGCAACTACAGCTCCCAAATGTCAATATTCTATTTTCCCCAAACTCCACCAGTGTTGACATTTGGGCATATTGAGTATTTGTGTAGAGTTTGGTCCAGATCCATCATTGTTTGAGTCCACAGTGATCTCTGGATGTAGGTGAACTACAACTCCAAAACCAAAGGACACTGTCCACCAAACCCTTCTAGTATTTTCTGTTGGTCATGAGAGAACTGTGTGGGAAGTTTGCCCCAATTCTATCGTTGGTGCTCTTTGATTGTAGGTGAACTATAAATCCCAGCAACTACAACTCCCAAATGCCAAGATTCTATTTCCCCCAAACTCCACCAGTGTTCACACTTGGGCATATTGAGTATCCCTGCCAAGTTTGGTCCAGATCCATCATTGTTTGAATCTGGATGAAGGTGAACTACAACTCTAAAACTCAAGGTCAATGCCTACCCAACATGTCCAGTATTTTCTGTTCATCAGTTCTGTGTGGCAAGATTGATTCAATTCCATCATTGGTGGATTTCAGAATGCTCTTTGATTGTAGGTGAACTATAAATCCCAGCAACTACAAATGGCAAAATCAATCCCCCCACAACCCCACCAGTATTCAAATTTGGGTGTATTGGGTATTTGTGCCAAACTGGGTCCAGTGAATGAAAATCCATCCTGCATATCAGATATTTACATTACGATTCATAACAGAAGCAAAATTCCAGTTATGAAGTAGCAACGAAAATAATGTTATGGTCAAGGGTCAACACAACAGGGAAAGTGTATTAAGGGGTCGCAACATAAGGAAGGTTGAGAAATACTGTTCAGGCTGAAAATACAGCCCGAAAAACCTACAGCAACCCAGTGATTCCAGCCATGAAACCGTTCGACAATACATCTCTCTCTTGCAAGATCGCAGGACGCTCAACTAACCCAGCGAAAAGGACAAATGTGTCCTTATGGAATTATTAGGAAAGGAATTAAAAGAGAAATCTCACAAACATCACAGCTGAGCCTCTTTTAGTCACTTTCCTAATATATTATTCACTTTGTGCATATTCTTTCCCACCCCAAAAAACTGGGCATCAAGACGGCTACATATTCTAGACCTCTAATGCTTGATAATACATGGTAATAATGCACAACAAACACGAAAAGGCTGGGGGAAAAGCAGGAAGAGTTGCCGTGGGGTTCTCTCTCTCGTCCAAGGCATCGCACCCCTATCTATCCACCCAGACCTTCCAATGCTCCAGGAAAAAAACACCTCCAGATAGAAAGCTAGGAAAGGACTGAAAGGTGAAATATTGCCAAGTTTATATAGCAGCCCCTTACTGTTCACATTCTTGATATACTATTGTGTTTACATCCTTTTTGGGATCTCTAACTTTGGGATTTGGAAATATAGTCAAAGAAGAAAAATAATATACAAAAATTCTGAGGATGCTTGCCATAGATGCAGGCGAAACGTCAGGAGAGAATGCCTCTAGAACAGTGTTTCTCAACCTGGGGGTCGGGACCCCCATGGGGGTCGCGAGGGGGTGTCAGAGGGGTCGCCAAAGACCATCAGAAAACATAGTATTTTCTGTTGGTCATGGGGGTTCTGTGTGGAAAGTTTGGTCCAATTCTATCAGTGGGGTTCAGAATGCTATTTTATTGTGGGTGAACTATAAATCCCAACAATTACAACTCCCAAATGGCAAGGCCTATTTTCTCCAAACTCTACCAGTGTTCACTTTTGGGCATATTGAGTATTTGTGCCAAGTTTGATCCTTATCCATCATTGCTTGAGTCCACAGTGTTCTCTTGATGTAGGTGAACTACAACTCCAAAAAACTCAAGGTCAATGTCCACCAGACCTTCCCAGTATTTTCTCTTGGTCATGGGAATTCTGTGTGCCCAGTTTGATTCAATTCCATCATTGGTTGAGTTCAGAAGGCTCTTTGATTTTAGGTGAACTATAAATCCCAGCAACTCCAGCATTACCAAATGACCAAATCAATCACCTCACCAGTATTCAAATTTGGGAGTATTGGGTATTTGTGCCAAATTTGGTCCGGTGACTGAATATACATCCTGCATATCAGATACTTAGATTACCATTCATAACAGTAGCAAAATTACAATTGTGAAGTAGCAACGAAAATAATATTATAGTTGGGGGTCACCACAACATGAGGAACTGTACTAAGGGGTCGCGGCATTAGGAAGGTTGAGAACCACTGCTCTAGAACATGGCCATATAGCTCGAAAAAACCTACAACAACCTACAAAAGTTAGATTTTTATAATATGCAGCTACCTTAAAACAGAGTACAGGACTAAATCTGAGGCAGGCAAACTAACCAAACACTTACCGACATTAACAAGCAATACTAAACACACAACTACAGAAACTATCCTAGGAACCTCACACTGGCCTCTGTTGCTGTTTACCTCCCTCCTTATCCTACTCCAGTGTTTCTCAACCTGAGGGTTGCGAGGGAGTGTCCAAAGACCATCAGAAAACACATGGATTGGTCATGGATTTCTGTGTGGAAAGTTCTGCTCAATTCTATCATTAGTGAGGTTCAGAATGCTCTTTGATTGTAGGTGAACTATAAATATAAAGCCACTCCAATCCCAGGGGAGTAGCAGCATATAAGTTTGAATAACAAACAAACAAACAAATAAATAAATCCCAGCAACTACAACTCCCCAATGTCAAGGTCTATTTTCTCCAAACACCACCGGTGTTCACATTTGGCCATATTGAGTATTTTTTCCAAGTTTGATCCAGATCCATCACTGTCATTGTAGTTGCTCTTTTAATGTAGGTGAACTACAACTCCAAAACTCAAGGCCAATGCCCACCAAACATTGTTGATGGAGTTCATTGCTCTTTGATTGTAGGGGAACTATAAATCCCAGCAACTACAACTCCCAAATGTCAAGGTCTATTTTCCCCAAACTTCACCAGTGTTCACATTTGGCCATATTGAGTATCTTTTTTCCAAATTTGGTCCAGATCCATCATTGTTTGAGTCCACAGTGCTCTCTGTTTGTAGGTGAGCCACAACTTCAAAATTCAAGGTCAATGCCCACCAAACCCTTCCAGTATTTTCTGTTGGCCATGGGAGCTCTGTGTGCCAAGTTTGGTAATTTGGTCCAGATCCATCATTGTTTGAGTCCACAGTGCTCTCTGTTTGTAGGTGAACCACAACTCCAAAATTCAAGGTCAATGCCCACCAAACCCTTCCAGTATTTTCTGTTGGCCATGGGAGCTCTATGTGCCAAGTTTGGTTCAATTCCATCGTTGGTGGAGTACATAATGACCTTTGATTGTAAGTGAACTATAAATCCCAGCAACTACAACTCCCAAATGACAAAATCAACCCCCCCAAACCCAACCAGTATTCAAATTTGGTCGTATTTTTGCCCAATTGGGTCCAGTGAATGAAAATACATCCTGCCTATCAGATATTTACATGACAATTCATATCAGTAGCAAAATTACAGTTGTGAAAA